AGAGTAATTATTAAGTATTCTTTGCTTTGAGTATGAAAATGAGGCCCATTATGCACAGCTGGTTTTGTTTATTTTCGGGGTTTTTAAAGGAAAAGTGAAAAATTAAATTATCTACGGAAATTGTGAAAGCGTTCATATTTATTCAAAACTAATTTCGGTTACATTTCTTTGATCAAACATTTGTTCAAATAATCTTTGTTAAAAATGTTCATCCATCATTTTTAAATTGATGAATGATAATATTATTTCCACAATAAAATTGGATGAAAGTTTATTTGTTGTTGTTCTTTGGAGGATTACATTACTCCTATATTATATTTCAGGCCAATATAGTATGTACTGTAATTATATGCATTGTTTTTCAATCATCATCCACACAATGAATGGCTTGTATAGCTTAATATCTTATTATGTCATCAAGGGACCATTCAGGAATAATTGCAGTGCTTATGATTAATTGAAATATTCCTTCCAATTTCTCGTCCCCTTCGAGCTAGAAGAAAATAGAGGCTCGTGTCGGTATTGGGTACAAAGCTTTCTTATTAGCCAGGTTGCGGACAGCATTTTCCGTTATGTTAGACGGCCATTTTTCCTTATAATATAAGTTTATAAGTATAAAACATTTTTATAGCAAAGTTAAGTTGCGGTGTGTGCTGGGCGTGTTCAATTTTGCTTATAAGTTTGAAGGAGTCTTAACCTCACTTTTATTTTACATTGTGTTAAAATGTCCAAAGTTCACTACTATGCTCTTAGACAAAAAGAAAAGAACTACCGCCAACATAAACACTGCACAATTGTAGGTTAGCAGGAAAATGTTATTTATGAGTGATTACGTACTGCGCAGTGACACATTATAAGAACTTCATTTTCATTGGTTCCGCTATTTATAAATATATCGTACAAAAAGCCCTCATACCGTAAATTATTTCTACAAAAATTTATATTTCTTATGTTATAAGAAAAAATGGCCGTCTAACATAACAGAAAATGCTGTCCGCAACCTGGCTATTATTAATATACTTGCAGTTTTCTATGCTTATTTAAAATTTGCTTGTGTTCAAAATGTCGAATAGGTGGACGTAATTGCAAAAAAACTAAAATCGGTCATTTATTCCTTGAATGGCATATATGAATATCGATACCTATATCACAACGTGCCTAATAAAAACCATGTTTGGTTTTCACAGCGGAATTATAGTCATTGCTTAGCGATATTAATAACATCCGTTTCAACGGGATTTTGAGCGTTAATCTCCATTTTTAAGATCGTGAAGGATTTTCCCAACATCCAAGGTCCTGTTGTATGATTTTAGCCCTGATTTTAGCTAAAGGCTGATTGTGACAATGTCGAAAGTGGAAGCTTTGTCGAAAAATTAGATTTCATCATATACACTACATATATTATGGATTTCATTAACTTTTGTTCAATACTCACATACCATAATACGATCAATTCATGTGTAGGTAAGTAAAATGCAACTATAATTAGTTATTAATAAATAGTTTCAATATTTAGAATTTCCACAACGTACCCACATAGGTACTTTTATTTATCATTTTTTCTTAACAGAAATTAAAAATAAATCAAAACCATTAAATTCGTAGGCAATCTCAACGCGAGGATACATAAACAATAAAGATTTGGTGGTAATGAAATAACATCCCCGTCTCAGCTCCTCCATTTTATAAAGGGTTCTCATTCGCAAATCAGAGATATTAGCCTGGGTTTGCGTAGACTGAATGACGTAAAGGTAAAGGTAAAGCCACAGATTTATGTAAATAAGGCTAAAGAAACAGGTCATGTCGCAATTTTCCCATTTAATAATACATTGTAATTGTACGTAATAATTAGGCACAAAAAAAGATTTTAGAAATTCTTAACCGGTTGCCAACAGCAAATAGGGCGATGGCCCATTTCATTCTCCTAATAAAATGTGCAAGTCCTATCCTTACGCCATCTATGACCTGTTTGCATTTATATTCGATTTCATGTTAACCTCTTTCACTTTCTGGTATTTTAATACAAAAACGCTATACGATATACATAACGTTGTGGCATCCTTACAGATACGTTCCCATGGAGTACAAATTTGTATAATAAATGTCCTTTAGGTATCGTTAATCGTTATATAGTTAATAATATAAAAATAATCATCCCTTCTCTCGGTTTTCCGAGTGTACTTCCAAAACCACTCCAATACACAATTTTATTTCTGTAGTTTCCAATAATGTTTAAAACAAGTCTTTTTTAATAACGCGAAATAAAACAACGCGTGGAACCGGAAGGAAGTTTTACCGGTGGCGAGATTCAGTATTTTATAAACAAGATATCTATAAGCATTGAATAACGAAATCAGATTCACTCAACGCTATAAGACAAGGTCAAAGCTTCTAAGTTCAGTACATTATTTTAAAAAAATCAAGTAAAAATATGCCCATAATTTAGGACTAATGAAAGACTAATTTGTATCCACAAAATTAGAACTTGTACCCGCCTAGTTCCGCAGGAAAACCTATTTTTAAAGTGGGGGTGCTAACTTGAAATCAAGCCAACGCCCCCACTTTTCCCGATACAATTTTATTAGTTGCAGACTTGTGAATTAAGGACTAATTTGTACCCAAATTAAATTTTCATTACATTATTTGAAAAATTTTTAACTAAAAAAAGGCAATTCTCAGAATCAATAAACAAATGAAGCGTTTAAATTAAGGACTAATTTGTACCCACAAACATTGTTTTGTAAACAAAAGAACGAGATTGACAGAATGCATTTTGCTGCTATCTATGGGTCTATCCGGTTGCTTGTATGTGTGTCTGTCTGTCCGTGTTATTAAGGATAATAAGAAAGATCACTATTGTTTTTCAGCTATATGTAAAATGATGGATGCGTGAAGATCTTGAGGATCATTTGGTAGGCATTCATTTGTATCGCGTTCTTGGGTTACAAAGTTGATGACAAACTTACATGGAAATATCATTCCTGCAATTTAATAGTAAAACTTAATACTATATTGTGGCAGCGAGTCGCCTACCGCCGCCATGGAGGTGCCATCAAAGCTCACCGGCGGTAATCTTAAATTCTCCAGAAAGTTCCTCCTTTTTTAGATGAGTTGGTGACTTAGAGACGAGGTAGGGGCTAGGGGTAGTGGTTAGAAATTTATTTTATCTTTCATGGTACCTATTCTAATGAGAGGTCTCAACGAAAGGAATTTATTTCTATCCTTCCCCATCGTTACTCGGTTTCGATCCGTGCGGGATTAGTTAACCGCGCATGGCTTGGGTATATCCATGGAAATCGAAGAAAATATAATAATGGTCTTTAATTAGTTATAGTCATATTTTTATTTGGCGAAGTGGGGGTGCCAACTTTATCGACTTCCAAATAAACCAAGAAATCTTGGTATAATATAATCCATATGTTTGTTGAGTTATATAACAATAATTGCGCCAAGAGTCACCGGTCAATGTTATTTTCGCAGTCTACTATTTGGACAAGTCCGTTTAAGAGATCGGAAAAAAATCACTCCGCATAAATAGCACCTTGGCTCATTTTGCAATCCAGTAATCATAATATAATATATCAGGGACAATTTTCTGTCAGAAGAGGATTGAAATCCGCTAAAATATACCGGGGTTAATTGAAAGCGTTAATGTGCTTAGGTACTATAAGTGTTTTTGTCGCTACCCTCAAACTACACAATATAACTATACAATAATATAATCGAACTACTTCTCAATTCCGGTTACACTTATCAATTAATTAACGGAATCGAAAATTAAACCCTAATATGTAAATTGCTCTTAATTCTACTCACGGTCACTATAAGTAGATCGCCTCCTTATAAAAGAAATGATTTCAACAATTTTGCTTTTAGCATAATGTTACGTGAAAATTTGAAAACTCGCCAGGAATTGTAAATGCGACAATTTACGCGTATACGGAATGAAGTAATCAACAAGGAAGTTACATTCAAAGAAAGATAATTCCCATATTTAGGGCAACCTGCGTTTAACTAATTTAGCTATGTCTTAAATTAACGTAATTGTGATTTTAAAGCGAGTCTCCTTTGAAAAAATTTCATTTTTCTGTACGTTAGAAAAAAATATATTCATATAAATTGTTATTTTACGAACAACAAAACTAAATTACATACGTTAGAAGATTAGATCGAGTTGGCTAACGAAACCTTGATTTGAGAAGGATACCTGTTGATTTTTGTAATTATACTTTAATTATTATTTATTAGATACTTATATTTCCAAACAATTTAATACAATTTAATCTCTCCAAGGCAATTTATTTCCTTTGTCTTCTTTTGTAAATCCCCCGAGAATCACATTGGAAACACGACTGGCACGCTTGACCATTTTTCGCTTTTGGCGATTTCGAATTGGGATTCTTTCAGATTTCATGAGTAAAACTGAATTTGAATGTGAAATTTGAAAATATTATATTGATTTCAACGTAGCTTTCAATTAGGCGGCAGAATGGCACGGTATTAAGTACCTAGTAAATTAGAATACTACTTTTATACTACTAGACTAATGATGCATCTCCATTCGTGGAAGTTATCCCCAGTCTTAGACTTGAGAGTGAGTTTTTTAGTGGAAGCAGGGTCTTATTAACTGCATATAGGTAATAATCACTTGATATTTTATAGGTTTATGTGGAACAATACGGTAGCTTACTGATTGTTAATAACTATGTGTGAAATCTACACTAAAATCTTAGTAAAAAAGATCATTTAAAGCCCATAATCCTGGCGCGTCTGTAACAGATCGCACAAAGAAATAGTATGCAAAATACGTCCGCATCGTAGGAAGATAATAAGCGAATGGCATTTAAGATTATTATTTATGACAGCAAGCAGACCAGACTTAGGTCTTATTCTTACTTAAATCAGGTACGACAGGCAAATTGCGGTGTACGTAATGGGCTCTATTATCACATGCAATTTTCCTAATTTAAACCATAACGAATCTCCATTTACATACTTACTTTGTACCAAGCTACTAGTGGTTTATGTTCATTATCTCCGTCTCTTGCGTCACAGACCAATTCAATCGTTTCTCCTAACTTCCTTAGGTAGAGGTGATGGGGAGTTGCTACAAAAACAGGAGGCCTCAAGACCATTACGTTTATGGTTGGCGATGGTCCCTCTGTTCCCAGCTCGTTGTAGGGCGTACACGAATAGCGTCCTTTATGAGATTCGTCCACTTTGTTAAAATACAAACTGCCATTCTGCCGATAAAATACACCAGGGACATTGTAGGCATCGAAAAGAAATCCGTCCTTTTCCCATCTCAAATTTTTTAATGGCGGATTTGCGCGAAAATGACAGTCTAAAACGGCTGGTTGTCCATACGGTAAATACAACTCCTTGGGGGTGTAGATGACCTTCGCCTTATCTATAAAGACGTGGTAAGCATCACATTGTGTATTCATAATTACGCACATTGCACATCCAGGTAAGCTTTGGCACTCTGAGATTCCTTCAAGTAATTAACGGCTTCACAAATATACTCCCCCGAATCCCCCATTTCAGTTGCGCGTATCGAGAGCGACCCGTCGCTCTCCACGTGCGACCTTTGGAGGATATTGGCCAGCTCTGTTAGAAGAACTCCATCCTTAAACCAGCGTATTTCGACGCCATTCTCTCTGGTGATGCACGTAAACTGCACATCCTCACCTTCCAGGACAGTTTGGTTAATCGGAGGTATTTCCAAGAGATTTCCCCCTAAAATCAACTTTTTAATTTATGATCTGAAAGTCAATCACCCACCAGTGACCGCCAAGTAAAACCACGTTCCATTCCCCATCGACGTTGGTGTACGGAACGGGAAAATAATTTTACACTCGTACCATCCAGAATCCGACTCCCTAATCGATGTTAGATTTATAGACGCTTTTCCATAGCTACTATTGTTTAAAAGTTGAATTCTTCCACCGTAAGGATCCACTGATACCGTTATTCCATTATCCCACGAATAAATAGTTTTACCCTATACAACCGGATTAGTACCGACCATCCTTAAACCGCTTGAGTACTTTACCTCCTTCTTCCAATTGAGTATATAAGGGATGACAATGTCTTGCGGATACTCTATATCACAATCAAAAACAATATGATCACCAACAGATGCACTTAAAAACGTAGGAAGCTGCTCATCGTTATAATAATAGGAAGCGGCACTGTGCACGAAGTGGTAAATGGATATTGCGCAAATAATCCTTTGATAACCCGCAAACATGGTGAAATTGAAAACAACGGAATTTATGCTCTCATCGAGATGTGAGCTTTTGAGTGCTCCAGTTTATACTGTAGAATGTAGATAAAGAGATCATACGCAATTTGTGGAGTAATAAGGAGGGAAAAATTAGATTAATAGAGGTAATGCTAGACTTTACGCTTTTGAAGCGTTACAAGTTTTGTTATAGTTTTACGTTAAGTAGAGTACTTAATTAGAGCTGTAATACCGATTGAACGTTTTATTTCTTATTAGGAACGTAGGGGGATTAATATTATAGATCGCATTATTCTACACAAGAGACGTGACGTGGCTGGTTATATAGAGAGAGGAACATATAAATTGCAATGAGTGTTTTTTCAATTAGCCCGATTACTATCCACCTACTATGTAGCATGCAGGTCTTAAGTCATTTAAAGGTCGACTATAAAAAGGTGATGTCAGATCTCTTATTCGTATTTTTATGGATATGCTTAAGGGGTAGATTTCCATTTCCTATGGTTTGATTTGTATAATCGGGCAGCTGCCAGCTACAGATGTAGCGTTACCTTTCGAACCTTACAGAAGCTACGATGGCGGAAGTACCTAATATTTGTATACTTACTAGGCCACTACTACACGGTCATTCCTCTCCGTGTGTTGTTAGTTACAAAAATTGTACGTTCGAGCAATGGTTTATCCCTAATAGAACCAAATTGCTTTATCATAGAATAAAATTTACTCTATCCTTATATGCATATCATTGCATTAATTTCCCCATAGGTTTAACTCATGGGCGTCTGACAGTATTACGAAAAACGAATTGTTTACACTACACCCACAGTCCTTAAAACGCGTTTATCATGAAAAATGTACCTAACTAATACTTTTTTATTTTGTCAGTCTTTTCGAAGGTTTGGGATCAGCACAGAGGCTAGATTAGACAGGTGCAGTTTTTAGTACATTCCGTTCGAAATCAATGTCGAATCTATTAAAGCTCTGAATAATATTTGCAAGAAAACTGTGCCCATAACGTTGTTGGCCAATAGACCTACCTTGGCCTTCTTTACTGCAAAAAGACCCACGGTCTCGATTGTTCTTTGGTCTCTGGTGTGTGTGATGGATTCATCTTTCGTTTAAAGCCGGCCATACACGGTCCAACGCCGTCGTACGATCTTGTCGAATTCGACTAAGCTGTACGATTTTTGATTGTGTATGGGCACATCCGACTAAGTTGGTTGGATGAGAATGAATATCAAACTTGTCTGACTGCTGCAGTACAATCGAGTTGTATGCGACGCAGTTGGACGAAATTGGATCGTGTATGCGCGCTTACAATCAAGTCGGTCAGACAGAATCCGTGTACACAGCCAAATTAAAAACCTTTATTATTATCATATTGTGTTAATCTGTTGAGTACAGTGTGAACGATCTTTAAAAAAAAATCACATCCAACTCTATCGTACGACGTTGTTGGATCGTGTATGGTTGTATTCAATTTTCACGATTTTCGTACGACAATTCCATCCGACATTGTTGTACAACGGCGTTGTTCATGTTATTCATGTTAAATGTGATGTGCCTGGTCGGTTGAGATGTCTACAAGCTCAGCCACCTCACGCACTTTTATTCTGCGATTGTCCAATATCTGTGGATTCTACAGGCCACAATCTATAAGAAAAAATTTTTTTCCGGTCGATCTGAGACAATTTTTTTTTCGGAGCTCAAAAAAAGGCAGTGTATAACCTTCCTTTTTTACCAATAATCGACTACACCAAAATTTCTCGGGAAAACACTTTTTCTTATTAATTTTGGGGCGTAGAATCCAAAACAATTCGTACTTTTTCGATTAGACTTCTCAATCAAAAGTTATAGAATAGAAACCATATGCATTTTATCGACGATCCGGCCCATTTGTGTCGGTACGACCACAACGGAATTCAGTAAACCACTTCTTAACCATTGAAATTGATGGTGCAGAGACCCCATAGTATTTATCGAGCTTTGCCTTGACTTCGGTGATGGTTTTTTACGCAAAAAATTATGTTTAATCATTCACTTCTTTTCATTTTCTTTAAAATTCACGGGTTGTGCTTTAACTAGCTCACACATAAACTAAGTGGAGTAGCTTGGGCAACCTTTTACAGTAGTCTATTGGTAGATGGCAGTTGACGGGAGCACGAACAGTGCTGAATTTAAAGTTACTGCACTGGAAATTCAAAAAGTCACCGACTTATCAAACTGTCCTTGTATGTTTTCGAATACTATCTTGATTGATATTTGCCTAAAAAGTGCCGTTCATTACGTGCCTGTTATTCAGCATTTTAAGCAAAATTTGTATAATAAGCATACTATTAAATTCCACCGTTTCCGGGATATCGAATTTTGAAAATAAACGCTATTATTTTAAAACTCATTAATAATTGAACAAACAACAATAATTTTATTAATGAGTCCAAACAATCATAACAAACTTCACAGAAAGTTTTCAAAAGAAATTCGCGATGTTATATAATTATTGTTCTTTATTCAATACATTTTAAAGCAATACCTTTTCTTTTGAACTCGACAAATCGGAAACGATTGTATTTGGGTACATTACGCTTCTTAGAAATTATGCTCAAAATTGAGAGAAGAATTGAAATGTCAAGTAATATATAGGGTGTTCCATTAAAAAAATGCAATATTGGTGTGTCATGTCTTTATGACCAACCCTGTATAATTAAAATTACTACTGCCTAGTAGACATAAAAGAAGCTCAAATCTTTGGCATAAAACTTTTTTTGATACTTTTTATATTTTCCCAGATAATCGACAGTTTTCAGACTTATCAGATTATCATGTTAAACCCCTTTTCCTGGGTAGAAGATCCCTTCATTATATATCTGATGGTTTCTCGAGAATTTCGTTTCCGTATAATTGAGCACTTTCTAGTGATTTTTATTCGGGCTTCGTATCAATTAGGTGGGACTTGTCACTTCAGAATGAGTGTATATAGAGATGTGTCATCAAAAAAAATCTTCCGAAATAGGATTGAAGGGTGGCTCAAAAGTTGTAACGGTAAAAATTCGCTATTTGCGATCGATGCTGAACTTGCTTAACGAATTTTTGCAAAACTTTTTCATGTTTCGTATGAATTAGAACTGGTGAACCATAATGTGCACTATTAACAACATTATTTGCTGCAAATATACGAGTGTTGTAATGTTGTTTATTTCTTTTAACCTTTTTTTTTGAGGATAGCCAACAGCACCTAGGTGTTGTTGGGATAGGTTGAAAGCACCTACTGTGACAGTTACCTTGAAAAGTTTTATTGGAGTACCTAGGTAGGGTGAGTTTCTAAGGGGCTTGGGGAACTAGACAACGCCTAGGCGTGTATGTGATAGTGCCCTTTTTGGTTTAATTAGAGGAAATAATGGAAAAATAAGTAAGCCAAGTTTTATGAGATCTGGCAACATTATTGTTTTTTATTTTTCAGATGTGATGCTTTATACAGCTTAGTTACACAGTAACAACTGCTCTTTTCTACTTAACACTTAAAACTAAAAATGCTATGACTAAGTTTGAATGTGCTGTGAAATGATATAATTAATATACAGTCAGTAAAACATTAAAGTCACTTTTTTTTTAGAAAAGTTGGAGTGCCTAAACATGCAAAATTGTATTCCGTCCTTTTAACGTAATTAATTTATAACAAATGAAAGGCTTCGTCTAATAATTGAAGAGTTAAAAGTTTCTTTTAGGATGAAATGTAAAAATCTTAGTTTCCGTGTGTATTTATTATAATCGTGAATAGAAATACTTTTATTGTTCGTAAACAGACAACACATCACTCCGATTCATTCTCTCAAGCGTAATTAGGTAAAACTCGAACGTTACTAAACTTAACTTGTACTGACATGATAATTTAAGAAACTAATATCACTATATAAAAAAATCTATAGTAAAATAAAGCTATAGAACACTTTGTATTTTACAATTTAAACAAATTTATAAATAAATAACGATAAAAATATGGCGGCGGACGTGTCGGTCCGGTTTTGCTCAAATGAGCAAGAAGGTACGTAGTACATTTTTTAGTCTAAACACCTAATATTACAATATCGCAACAGCCTGTTATGTAATTTTTTCCGCGGTCGGGACCGCGCTAAAGCGTTAGAATTTTATTATTAGAGGGCGAACTGATCAGGTGGATTCGACGGGGCAGTGTCGAAATGCGACCTGTTTTCCGATGCACCCTTTGTTTGATGTACATTATATTTTTGTGACACCGTTATAAAACGAATTGAGCTTCCATTTTTAATCTACAATAGAAGTACGGTAAATTACTTAACTGTATATAGGTGTACAATGAGTGTGTACTTATTCCATAGTTTTGTTTTAATTTAATAATCGTTTGCTTAATATATAATATTTATATAAATTAATATAGTGTCTTTGGAGTTTTGGTTCTTTAGTAATTTAGAACGGGTTTGCTTCGATAAAAAGCTTATCACACTAACTATAAGTTGACGCAGGAACACGCACACAGTTACGAAGTACATAATCCTTAAGCTAACAGGCGCTTTCCAATTCGTGGCTTCGTTTGCGTTTGGCTTGACGTTTGCGAAACTCGTGAAATTCCTCTTTCATAGCTTGAACTCGCGCTTCGATATTATCGTATCGTGCGTTTCTTAAGGTTCCGTAACCTTTTCGAATTGGTGCCGGATCTAGGTCACCATCTCTTCGTTCGGTGGGCGTTGAAGGTGTAGGTGTAGGTGTAGACGGATCAAACTCGTAATGTCCATCCACACTACCAACATCGACCGACTTGTGGATTTGCTCCGATGTCGAGGGCGAAGAGGACGCCAGCTCAAGCCAGTGGCCGACTAGTGGAGGCGGCGGCGGTAGTGCCGAGGGTGGCGGCGGTGGCGGACGATATGGAGGCAATCGCCATTCCGTGAAGGTACTTCCGCTTTGCGAGCTTTGGTTCTGCTGAGAAGTGTTCTTGCTACCGAATCCGCTTGAGCTAGACCTGCTTTCCGGAGATCGATCTAGATGATCGGGCGAACCCAGTTCTGGTGCACTTCTGGCGATGCGTGCGTGTCTAGGCAAAAGTCGAACTCGTGGTCTTGGACCCGGAAGTGCGGGGTAAGGCGGTGGTAAACGTATGCGAGAGACTGGGCTTGGATCTAAGGGGTGGACTGGTATGAAGCTACGAGATTCTTCATGTATTGCACTTAACGAAGGCAACTCCTGAGAGTATCGTTCGTGTACTGACCGTAACTGTACAAATCCCGGGGGTGTAGGGAACGACCGTTCCGCCGAACTTGGTTGTTGAACTGAGCTGATATCACTAAAGTACATTGGAGACCAAGGCGATAGTAAAAGTGCCGTGGAATCTGCAGGAGAGCTCGATTGAAATAAAGGAGTTACAGGACTGTAAATTGTCGGTATGGGTCTGACGGGATAGTGAAAGCGGGGACCTCCCAAGGTACCAGGGATGGCAGACACTAAAATCCTGGCACTTTGCCCCGAAGCATCAGATCGCAAACTTAACTGGCTAGGGTATCCAACTAAAGGTTTTCGCCACGAAGCACGATTTCGAATGCCTCTTCTGCTGAGGAAGCCTCCATCGTCACTGCTACTGACATTAGAAGGGCTGTCTGTGCGCGAACTGGACGCAGAGTCTACGAGAACGAATCGGCCGTCTGCTGCTCTTGATATACGGGCCAGAGATTTCGATGGCGAACCTGAATGTAGGTAATCTGGATGCCAACTTATACTACTACCGGAGCGACAGCGATCCCGTGGCCAAATCCAGTTCGCAATAAAGGCAAGCACCGTTAAACCTGGTATTCGGCTTTTTCTAAGTCTGTAGGAAAATACAACATTAATTTGTTTGCCAAAGTGAATCACAAGACATGCAATAATTGATGCAATCCAGACAAACACAGTTCTTCCAAAAATCACAACTGCACATCCATGCATTCAACCATGATTAAACTCACTTAAACGGGGTTATGCATGCAAGTCACCAAGCAGATTATTTTTTTCTGTGCAAATGTAACAGAAATATCAAAAGAAAATAATCTGTATCTAATGTGGAAGGGATAGTTTTAGTGCAGGGCGTGAATGGCAATCAATAATTAAAAGAACTAATATACATGTGAGAGTGCGAACAGATGATGTCTCAACAGCCGCGCAACTCTTCACCTTTTTTCCTCCTGTGATGATCCAGCGGGCGGCAAATAACACACGTATACAGTCAGAAACTAGATAATGCAAAAACCACGTTCGGTTAATTAAAACTAAACGCGGCCACATAATAATTCTATGGCTAAATGCACCTACACACAGACACCGTTCCTAGGAACAGGTCGCCATTCCAGGAACAAATGAAGCACATTTAAATCCAATTATGCTGTCATTTATATTTTACGCAAAGAATTTTACAGTATAATTGAACTCTACAGGTATTCTAAAAGAGCGATCCATCATTAAATGCGACCTAATTTCCTTTCGATTTAAGATCGCAAATCATAGAGGAATCGCACTTATCGGACGCTTACGGTTTGTGTCAACGCTTGTCCCGGGAATAATAAACACACTCTCGTAATCTCGATAGGATTCTGATTCAACTGTCCTATAAGAGGAACAATTATGTACCCTCTCATCAGTTACACTTTAAACAACAGTGAGAAAATTTTGAAAATTCAGTAAGAACCATAGCGGTAGTTTCGTGAGATTTCACATCGTAGATCTCATGAAACTTCAGCTCCTAGAGAAGAAGGAACTACAGAAATTTAAAAGAGCTCACTTGCTTACTTTTTCAAAGGCACTTGGCTATCCGCTGCACTTCCCCCGTTTCTTGAGTCCGTTATTCTACAAGCTACCATATTGTAAGCTGCAACAAAAGTATGAGCGAGGGAACGACGACGATTCCGATCGGTACCTTTCTCCTGTTTTCGACGTTTTCGCTTATTGCAAATTTTCACCGCACACACAGACAGAATAATGGCTACTATAAAAAACAGAATTCCTCCAACTACTCCGGCAGTGATTGCTTTATGCTTCACCCTCGCGGGAACGGGAAACTTAACTTCGTCGCTACTTTCGTAACTCTTGACGGAATATGCTAAGACTCTGAAGTAGTACGTGCGACCTCCTACTAAGTTTTTTACTGAAACAAACAAACATTGTTTTTATTTACTAGATGTTGTGTAATTAATTTTCTGCCTGGAAGTATAGGTAGCATTTACCGGGTGTTTCTGCTATACACCCTATAATATAATATCATAGTATTTATGTTTCCATACCTAGTATAGTTAGGCACTCTTTTCTTCAGTACCACCGAAAGAAAAAGGAGTCTGTTTAGCATAAATGACACACAATACTCGGTAACACCGAAAAAAAACCTTCATCAACTGAAAAAATTGAAACCGCAACCCGAACCAAAGGCAGCAAGTCAATTAATTATTCTCATTCGTTGGTGATTTTAGAATAAAATATCTGATTAGATTAGCAATGGTCATACCTATACACTATATTGATTTTGTATCATTAAACACGGAAAATTAACATTAGGTAGGTATGATCGATCGATTAAAGAAGAATGTCAAGCAAAAATACATTGAAAGTGTATCCATTCATTAAATTAAGGCAGGTTCGTGTCGATGTCACATATAAGTATATTCCCATTGATGTTTTGGCGCATAAAAAATTAACGATGAGTTAATTTTGCACACGCAATAAACGTAAGAAAATAGTCTGTATAATAATGATTAATTGCTTCTCGTTATAAACGCAACTCTACATTCGTGATACGTACAAATCAATTAGACGTTGTTAATTTTGACAGTGAGTTTAGACACTGCATCATGCACAACAGAAACTCTAAGAATAGTTCTACCATCTGTATCGCAAAGAAACGTTTTTGTAGTGAGGATAACCGGAAGGACAGCCGTGTTCTAAACTACACTCTACAGCACGAAATAAAAATTCACCATTTTTCCTTATTTAAAGCTTATTCGAGAAATTCATATGCAGGGGAGATTTAAAATTAAAATGTAAATCTGAGTCGAAATGTCTGTTTTAAGAGGGTTGATTCGTCTAGTTTTTCAGCACATCGGCGTCCTTTGAATTTTTATACGTGACATTTACTGACAGTAATTTGCCAAAAGGTACTTTTGCAGTAGGGATACTTTTCCACCGGTATAGACTATTAGTCTGGGAAGTTTATGAAGGCATTCGGTCGAAGACTACCAAAAGGCACCCACTTTCGCTTGCCGAAAAAAGTTTCGTTCCGAGTTTAACAGAGCGAAGGTTCCTATTTTTCGGGAATTGGTTTGAAACGTTAATTTCTCGCGAGTTTTCCGAACACGTTATAATTAAAGGAAGGACGGAAACAATTGGAAGCAAAAGAGACTTTTCCGGTCAAGGTTTAACCGAACGAATATTTTTCGTAGGCGAGTAATTAAAAGTGTTATCTGAATTTAAAAAAAACTGCGTATTTTAGGTACAATAGTAAAATGATGTTTTAAACATTCGGAAGTTTCAATCAGTTCCGAAGATATTCGACAACAAAACCGAAATTCACCATATTCGTTTTTATTTTTTTCTGATCCTGTTTGACAAGGACCCATCAATGAATTATTTTGACACTTTGTCAACGCCTACTACACCAAAATTGAATAACAAGCTTTTTCAGATAATAAATAATGTTTATAGGGCATGACAAAATGTCGAAATGGTTTCTTTAAATGACGTAAAAAAGAATCATTTTGTGTCATACTGATACATCGTTCTATTCGTAATAAAAATGCTTCTCAGTACAGTATGTACTTTTTTCCGGTCGATATAAAAATATGTAGTTTTTCTAAGACGAAACCTGGCATGAAAATCGGTGGGCACCATGTTGCAGATTTTATAAAATTCCTATGAGGAAGTGTTTCTAACGCATTTTTTTAAAATTTATTTGTAAAAGGTAGCTTTTCATTTCACTTTGGCCGGGTGGCTGGTTGACGGCAATTGAGAGCCGGTAGAAGAACGCTTGTAGAAAGACGAGGAGTATACGTGTACCTAGCGGGCCGTGTAATTAACAACTTTAGGAATGCGGCTACATCATGTGGGTTCGGCGACATTTGGGCACCATCCCCAAGCGTGGTTTATGAATGTGGTGATTTTTCAGTTTTTTTCCTATCTTCTTCTACAGTTTTGACTCGACTGTTTTCCAACTGGTGCCGTCGCAAAGATTTTGTAAACGCGCACAACTTCTGCGTGATGGAATTTTGTTTTCTTTTCCTAGGGGCGGTAGTCGACTTCGGGCGTCCAAAAGTTAATTTCCGCTGCGAATTTCAATACGCGGTTTGAAGTTCCTTAAAGATCGAATCGCGGTCTCTCTTTTTCGTGTCGCCTATAGAAGCTCGAGCTGTACAGTCTGTTTAAAATGAAGTCGGCACTATTGTTAACTTTCTTAGTTGTAGAGTTAGAAACACGGCTAAATTACCAAAATTGTGTATTTTTGTCTACTGAATCCATACCTGTAGTTAAAAAATACAAAACAACATCGAATTGTGTCCTTAATGCACCATAGCCAAAATATTTCAAATAGGAAGATTTTTCAATTATTTGCATTTCGATCTAGTTGTCCATGAATATGATAAAATGGCGTTTTTTTTTGTAAAGCGCGTTTTACACGCTGAAAGTTTTTGTGAAAGTTGAAATTCTCTTAACTGAGGGGATGCGCAATAGGTGCTTTTTTTGAAAGTGAAATAAATTTCAACTGCTGGCTTCTGAGGCGGAATATTTCACTTTCAGCTGATATTTTATGGTTGCCAGTTATTGTATACGATTATGTATTTTTATCATTTTCATGGATAACTAGATCGAAATGAAAATAACTGAAAAATCTTGGTTATTTGACGTAGTTTTGCTATGGTGTACTACGAACTTTTGTCGAGAATTTAATAAGCTGTCATATGATGTACCTAATAATATGCAGGGCGTTCCATATAAAATGTTGCAATTTGGTTATTAGGTGAAAAATGCGATGTTGTTTGGTTTTTTTATTTACAGATTTGGATTTAATAAACAAAAACGCACAGCTTAAGTAATCTAATCGGCTTTTTACCATTTAAAACAAAGAAAGATAGCAATAGTGCCCATTTAATTTGAAACAGACTGAAGTGCCCCAAAAGTTGAGTACTATTTTGTGGGAGGGTTTTGACGAAATCTACCAAAATGGCGCATTTATATGACTATGGGGGCGTTAGAAGTGGGTTCCGAGAAAGGAAATGTGGTAGCCTCCGATAAGATCTGACTGATGGTGCAGTCAAAATTTCAAACGCGCTTTACGAGCGAACGGGGTATCGGCAGTAGGTACCACACAAAAAAGCGCTGAAATCCCTTCGATCTCATACGAGGACTTTGATAATTTTTTATCTTTTCAAAGAGAGAATATGATTAATTTCGTTTTTTTCGAATAGCTTCGGAATAGATTGGAATTTCCGAATTTTTAAAACATCATTTAACTACAAATTTTACTCGAATACGCAACTTTTTTCTAATTTAATCGACCGCGTATCTTTTATGATTTACGATTTCCCCATGCTGTTTAATCTTATCTTGAGCACACTGTATATGAATGTAAAATATATGAAAAATATTAAAACTCGTTCATAAAAACTTTCTTCAGTATACGTGGAATATAAAGCTTATTGTAACGAAAATTTTCATCCCTGACTACTTCAAATCGTATATCAAATTTTCCCCATAAATTGTGTGATTATCACTTAATTACGTACATGGAAATGTTGTTTATTTCAAAACCACCCATATCAAAACATAATCAGCAAAATCGCACCTGTTATGGGTAGATTAAGAAGTCGAAAGCAACTACTTTAAATGAGCTGTAAAAACGGGAAGTTTGACCAATAAGAGTTTAAAGCAACTCGCAGCTACATTCTTGATAACGAAAAAGACTAGTATAGAGTAATCACGAAATCCAAAATTAAAAAACTTGCGGTGCGAGTTAAGTTATCATCCCTAATACAGGTACCTTGAGGGCAATTAAGGGTTCATTAAGGTTGAAAGTCGTCGTATCAATAATGCCTAGATTTTTGCCGATTTTTACGTGCATATATAACAACCTAGGTTTCTAGTCACTATCGAAATGCCTGCGCCTCTCGTGTGAATGCTTTGTTGTTGTGCGCCTGTACCTTGGTTTTTTTGGGGTACAACTAACATCTCTGGCATTTTAAACAAGCGCATAATATATTTATGGATTGAATGTTGGCACTTATCGTTATCAAGACACTTTGATTTTTCTGCAAAATACTCTATTGGTTGTTTACAGCTAAATGGCGCAAATCCCGTATTGATCCACAATAATTAAATCCGCAAGTAATCTTTCCATTGCACGTGTAACAAAAATTAATCGGCATCATTTCCCCTTGAATAAATTAAAAATGTACCTTTTATATTTATGGGGATTAATTTTGATTTTCGTTTACGCGAGCTTAATTTTATTCGTACACTTACCTAAATATTGAGTTTCTTCGGGCCTAATTTGGCCTTTATTTAAATTTTTGTAAGGCCCATCAGTTTTATACTTAATCGTGTAGTACTGAATTAAATTCGATCGTTCTAACGGCGGCTGCCATGTGATCAGGAATCCATTACTGATCTCGGTAACGGTTAGATTTCGAGGGGGGCCGGGTTTTGGACCTAAAAGAAAATTAGATTGGATTATCCTTTCTCTCGAGCAGGGAGCGCATGCAAGGATAAGTAAACCAAAGTACCTTTGGGTTTTAGAATCGGTGGTATAAAAACGTCGCCTGACGAGTCAGTGGGGAAAATAATAATACTATAATCTAATATATCTGAAATAATAAATAAAATAAGTAGTTTTCATGCGCCGTCATTCCTAATTAACGTTTCGACTGCATGAGTTTTGCAGTAATCATTTTTAAAAGTTTCGAGGAAAATGCCCCAAACAACGTTAAAGATGAGAAAACTTTGGACGTTTATTATATCAACTGCAAGAAAACTTTGCTCATTTATTAACGACTTTGTACACAATTAGTGAGGGAAATGTGATTGAAACGACCTTGACATACACTAATTAATCAAAACTATGCAGATTGAAACGTATCGAAAATATAAATATAACGTTCTGCATGCAAACCATGACCTAAAAAGTAGGTACAAGCGATATAACTTAAAGCAATCGATTCACGGTAGAAAACACGCAATATTCTTATATTTAACTATGCAAATGTTCAACAAAACCCCTTAATGTAAACGTCTTACCCGAGTCGTCGGAAGGGGAGAAAAATGGAGTCGGATTTACTTGAACTTTATGAATTACTCCGACGTCTATTCTCCACGAAAGCATTAAAATAGTAATTTTTCGGGTTGTCGTTACATTAAAAAAAATTACTTACCTAATGTTCTTACTGTAATAATGTTACTCATCATTCCCTCGCCGAGGGCGTTTTTTCCCACAACTTGAAACTCGTAAGTCGCACCCGGCGCTAAACGATTGATTGTTACTTGTGTACTTCCTGAAGGAGTAACGGGAATAGTCGACCATTCTGATACACCGGCTTCTCGGTACCATATCGTGTAATCTTGTTTGTAATCCGGTCCACCGCTATATCCCGGTAACCAGCTTAGGGTTACGGCAAATTCGGAGGCATTCGCCGTTAAATTGCAAGGGGCGTGAGGCTGCGTTCCCTCGACTACTAATTGCGTGGCAGTTACTATAGTAGCAACCTCATTAGAAGCAACGCATTGATAAAAGCCAAAATCCGATCTTTTTAAACCTTCTATTGTGATATTTCCTCCGGTAATTTTAACACGATTTTTGTCTAGAGACGAGCCGTCGCGACGCTGCCACTGGACCGTTGGCCTTTGTGTGCCTTCCGCCTCTTGAGCGTCACAATGCATTTCGACCGTTTCGCCTACTTTACGCTGATACATGGGTTCGAGTTCCACTGTAAAAACTGGAGGTTTCCTAACTAAAACTTCCATCGGTCCGGAAGAGCCTTGTGTTCCCTGAGCGTTGTAGGGCGTACAAGTGTAGCGCCCTTGATGATTTTGGTTAACTCTAGTAAACAGTAATGAACCGTTATTCATAATAACGATGTCTTTCGTCTGATAAGGTTCTAACAGACGCTTATCCTTGGTCCACGTAACATACTGAAGGGGAGGATTGGCCTTTATATAACATTGTACTACTCCGCCTAAGCGAAAGGGTAAGTACTGTACAGTCGGCGTAAATGTCACTTTCGCAGGATCTGCAAATAATTTATGTCCTTATAGAAGCACTTAAACCTCTCGAGTTATATTAAGTGTTGCGGCATTTGGTATTCGAATGGGTTTCTCGTAGTTCGATAAAACAATTACTAAGAATTTCAAACTTTCAGAAGCTGCATATTTAATCGACACCGCTATAACTCTTTTTAATTACCATCCAAAATAGAGTAATAAAAGAGGACAAGATATAACATTTTATAAACCGGCGGCAAACGATTTTATAATCGTGGAGAAATTAGGGAAGGCGCATTCATTATTTATCTTTTGCACGGTTCGTTTGCAAAATTGTAATATTCGCAACTAATTTATTTCGGAATTAGGTTATACTATATACAGTGTAATAACCCCCTTAAATTGAAGTACTTTTGAAACTCGAATAATTTCTATCCTATTTAAGTGTATTAGGATTGTGTGCGGTTTTAATCCTTTTAATTACTGCGATATTCAGATATGGTGATTCATTTCTGGATGGAGAGAAAGACATTAATTATTCGCAAAAGAGAAAAAAACAGATTATAGTCAAAATAATCATCAAATCAAATAATATACGGAAATATTTAATTATATATATTGTTTCTGTTATATTTTCTCTTTTTAGTTAATAAACGTTCCGTAATGGAATAGTCGAGTATTGACAATGTTCACCTAATAGTGGCAAATAACCTTTGATCAAACATCCTGAAAGTTATTACGTTTGTCTACCGTCACATTATTTTCCGTATGATCGATTCGAAATGTGTAGATACCACCAATATTGTTCATTTATAATAATTCTTCCAAAATTCTATTTTATATCCTAAATCAATGGAGACATTAGTCAGTGGAATCAACAAAGAATCACTAGCGCCTTTATTTGCCGTACACGTACACTAGGTTTTATTATTGGGAGAGGGCAGTTTTAATAGATTCCCCTCCGCGCGTAAACAATAAATGCTGTGTGTTTTGTTAAACAAATGACATTAGGCCTACACACAAAATGAAAACCTTAAGAAATAAATGTATTCACTACTTACGTTTATATACCAAAGAACAAAGCTAATAAGCATACAGAAAACAAGAAACGTAAATTATAATGATCGAACACTCCTATGAATGTAATTCCTAATAAAAGTCCTTACAACATGTAAAGCATATCATACGCAAGTGTTCAGCGTAAGACTAGTCTACTATATTTTTAGTAGTTGCTCTTAATACAGGGCGGAAATCTTGCCTGGAACACTCATTATATCTTCAAAACTATAGATTTTGCAAAGAACTTTTTATGGTATCCACAATTATAAGTTTGTTATCAATCTACGTACTTTAAATTTTGTGGTCAGTGCCGTACGGTACGGTAGAGGGAGGGCATATTTTTTTAATGGCAACTAGTTTTCATTACATATTATTAAAAAGTGCAACCCTTATGGATATAGCAGCATGTGTGCAGCTTAGTAATATATAATAAGAAACAAGGGTTGCTATTAAAAGATATACAAATTGAATCAAATTTCGTGTTAAGCACAGGAACTCGCTTATTAGCATAGACAGTTGGTAAAATGGACAGAAATCATCCCCGACATAAAATCTAAAAACATCATTTCTTCTGTTCTAAAGTTTTTCTAAAAGTTTTCTAAATATGGCGAAAAATAACATAAATGCAGTTTTTGATTTTTGCCTTTAAAATCGTTATTTGGGGAGGTATTTATAAAGCTAAAGAGACTTTCTTTACGGAATTTTTTCTGTTCTTTTGGTATTCATATCGGAGTCATTTTGTAGTTGTGGGTCATCTAGTAGAGAAAAAAACCTGATTTCAAAAATGTATAATATGTTCAAATAAAAAACTAAGTTCAAATTTAAAAGAAAAACATTTCGAGTGACATTTTATTAAGTGTCATTAATAGCAATAACAATCGAATTTATTTAATAAAAAACCTGGATTTAACTAGGTATAATAAGTGTTGAAATAGACCTCCCTGATTTTCTAGACACATTACCCATCTTCTCAATATTTGTTCTGAAGCAGGTGTAATGTGACTTTTGAGTACGTGATGCGCGATTCTTGTACAAAAATTGTACTAATGATCACTTTGCGTGTATTTATTGCACAAAAATTGTACTTGTGAGTATACTTGATGCTTGATTCATTAACAAAAATGGAACGTATTCGTTTTTGATGTCTGTTTTTACGAAAATGGTACTTTTGATTACTTCATGAGCGATTCTTGTACAAAAGTTGTACTAACGAGCACTTTGCGTGCATTTATTGAACAGAAATTGTACTTATGAGTACGTGATGCTTGATTCTTTCACAAAAATGGAACGTGTCCGTTCTTCATGCCTGTGTTTTTACGGAAATGGTACTTTTGAGTACTTGATGCCTGATTCTTGCGCAAAAGTTGTACTAATGAGCACTTTGCGTGCATTTATTGCACAGAAATTGTACTTATGAATACTCGATGCCTGGTTCTTTCACAAAAATGGAACGTATCCGTTCTTCATGTTTTTGTTTTTACGGAAATGGTACTTCTGAGCAGTGGTCGAATTGGGGGAGGGGTATGCGGGGGTATGGCAAACCACCAGTTTTTATAAATAATTAAAACGTACCCCCACATATATCGTGTGAAACAAAAACGTACCCCGAAGTATATGAAGATTGTTGACCAAACATAAAATTAAATTTCAGAATTTTTTCCCAGAAAAGGATTCTATCCAGCCGCAAAGTATCAAACAGATTATGTTTTGTAGCTGTAAATTAAAGGTTTCTAGGTATGTACTACGTGCTTGGTTCCTATGCAAAGATGATTGCGCCTCTTAGTATATAAATACAGCAATTTTCTGCTTCTTAATACTTGTCGGTCTCGTATTTAAAATCGTCCCTGTCAGCATCTTTTGCATATTGTTTGTATTAGTAAAATGACTCCTCTCCCACGTACTATAAACTGCGCTTTTGTGTACCTACATAGTAATAATAAGTTATTTAGTCTGCTCAAGTGACCTGAAAATTATATTAGCAAATTACGGCGTACATATTTCTTGTAATTTGTAACGAATTGAAAGTTGCTGTTGGATTTACTGTGATAGTTCGACGAGTACACAAATTTATTTAACAGTTAAATCTTAAATGTCAATTTCAAAATAAATAGATTTTTATGTTTTTGTTCGACAATGTTTGCCCCCCCCCCCCCCCCTTCGTTCGACAACGGGATTTGGTCCGGATCAGATGTATCTCTGCTTTTTTAAATTTCAATTTAATTAGCAGTTTAATAATAATTGCGAAATTCTTCGCAAGTTCCATTTCTAGCAGTAGATTCTTCGCTTTTGTTTGTTATATGTTGGCGAAGCCTATTGTAAAAAATTATGCATGAATAATGCCAATCTTTTTCCGAATACGCCAAGTTTTTAATGATAAGTGCAATATCCTCATTGCCTAAGCTAACCCTTCCGAACATCCAATGGTTGTTCGAATGAAGTTTGCACAATTAATAATTTAGAGAACCCTTGCTTTTGCGATGAGAACATCTTACTTTACATTTGTGCCATAAACCTACTAAACAGCTACAAACGAGGCTACAAAACTTTTTTGCGTGAAGTAGCAATTGTGCGAAGAAGGTTTAAATTTTAAACACTATTGTCCTGGGTTGTACCTGGCATTGTAGCATTTTTGTAATATAGATTAAATGTTTCACTCTCTCAACTCGAATTAGAATCAGAAAGGTAAGGTGTACGATGAAAAACTCACAAATTGTGAAAGATTAACGATTAATTTTCTTCTACTGGTTGCGAAAACGAAAAACCACAAGCTAATGAGTAAATTCGCTAATGAACCGCTAGACTAGCCACGGTGGAGTCTTACAGGTTGTTCTAGTTGATGCGGCTAGGGACTACAACTACCCGTTGATAGTTTAACCGCGTGTGTAAAAAGATCATTCACGAAAAAGAGAATATTCTATAATCGATCAATTTTATTTTATTGACAAATTTCTATTAATTTCAAATCTGTTCTATACATACTTGATTACTAAAATGCATCTTTCTTCATACTCCCACCAAAATTACTAAGAGGTAATTTTTAAAAACATTACATGATTGATCTGGCGGTTTTCCTCGAAAACGTCTATACTTCACGCAATTGCGAACCACATGTTGTATTGCTTTTCTACCTTTCAAGATCCAAACCTTCTCTCTTAAGTGGGACACGATGTATTGAGCTCCTGCATGACACTTATCCTCATGAATAAGCGCATCAACAACAGGATGTCTTGAAGGAAGCAGAATACACTTCGTAGGAAAATACCATGGAATCTCATCCTTCATCACCGCATTAAACGCCGTAACCATCCTCTTCCTCTCTTGTTGAACTTCATCTTCATTTTCGACATATTTATTGATGGGCCATTGTTCAACATCTTTAAGCCAAGCTGGTCCCTCCCACCACTTTGACTCCAATAATGAACGAGCATCACACCCACGAGAAGGCAAATCCGCAGGATTCAAGGACCCAGGAACATGTCGCCATTCCTCTGGTTCAGTGTTTGAAAGGATCTTTTTCACCCTATTTCCTACGAAGGTTCCCCAGTTATCGTTACGTTTTATCCAAGACAATGCCGTAGTAGAATCTGTCCAGAAGTAACGATTAACATCATCCAACTTTAATGAATTTTCTACAGTCTGACACAGTCGACTACCAATTTCGCAAGATATCAATTCCAACCTATTGATGGTTATATCCTTTAAAGGAGCAACTCTGGATTTGGCCATCAATAGCTGTACCACTCCTATACCGTTGACTTCACTTCGAAGAAAAACTGTGGCAGCATATCCACTTTTACTTGCGTCACAAAATGTATGAAGAGTTCAACTTTGTTTGTTGCCTCTGCAAGCCCAACGAGGAATTTCTAATAAATTGAGTAACGCAATATCATGTTTCCATTTAAGGAATTTTCTCGACACTTCGGATGACACAGATTCATCCCAACCAAGTTTTGAATTCCAGGTTTCCTGA